TTCCTCAAAGCCTTGTGCTTTTAACTAATATAATCATTAAACTGATTGCAACTGAATTTCTAGAGTTTTCATAAAATTAGTTGGGGGGTAATAAATATAAAAAAAATATTTTTTCCATGACTTTAAAAAAAGAAAACATATTTATAATAATTTCCATCATTTGTGAATAGTTTCTGAAAGTTTCATTAACATCCGACAATTATTTTTTTTTTGAAAGATTTTCCAAATTAATGTTTGTCATACAAAAAAAAAAAAAAAAAAAAAAAAAAAAAAAAAAAAAAAAAAAAAAAAAAAAAAACGTTCTGAAAATTTATGTTATTTTACTAGTTCTCATCATGGAGGTACCGACACAGGAAGAATAAAAAGACCCAGCATTGCACAAGTCTGCGAATGGCTGAAGCAAGCTTGGGATAATATTCGACCAGAAATTGTTGTGAAGCCTTTTAAAAAGTGTGGCATTAGCAATACTCTAAATAGAACGGAAGATGACGCATTATTTAACAACGATGATAGTAGTATTGAAAATGGCTATCAGAGTTTTTATAACGAAGACGACGAATTTTATGGATTTGAAGATGAATAAAATTTTAATGGTAACACTACTGTTTTGCTCAATTGTAATAATTGCTTGAATTTTATTTTGTTTGCTTACCTTTTGTTATAATAAAGGTTTTTATAGGCTCATGTTCTTTTTTTCTTATTATTTTTCATTTAATTGTAATCATGGCTTGTTTAACCAAAATAATACCTAATAAATATAGCCTAGGCTGTACTATTTACTAATAATTTTACTAATTGCTAACTTTTTCTTGATTTTCCCTGCTGAAATTGGGGTGCGTTTTATACACCCGTGCGTCTTATATGTCGTCAAATATGGTACATGTAAAATTGTAGTATTATGGAATTTGACGTGGAACAATTCATAGTATCTGGGGAAGCATAAACATGCTAGATACAGTTTTTACAATATAAACGTTCCCGATTTGCGCTTTATATTACAGTGTTATAGAGTTAGGCTAGGATTTTAAATTATACGTTTCCCTCTCCAAGTCTGGTTGTCCTATCAAAGGGAAAGAACTTGGTGTATCCTATTATTTCTTCTTCTTTTGTGTGCCATGTCCTTTCAGGACGTAGGCGATCATAGCTCTCCACCTCCCTCTATCCCTTACAGCTCTCAACAAGTCCCTTCCCTCTGCTTCCTCCCCCAGACCACGTTCTGTCATCCACTTGCTTAAGTCCGCCAGGTATGTCACGCGTTGTTTTCTCTTGTCTCTCTTTCCCTCTATTTGACTTGTGAGTATCAGATTCTCCAGGCCTTCTTTCCTCATTATGCGTCCCAGAAACTTCAGCTACCACTTCCTGATGTTAAGTATAAGCCTCCTCCTTGTTTGCAACCTCTCTAAGATTTCATCGTTGCTCACACACTCGGTCCATTTTCTACTTCACCCAAACCTTGTTCTGTCATCCACTTGCTTAAAGCCGTTAGGCATGTCACGCGTTGCTTTCCCTTCCCTCTCTTTCCCCCAATCAGCCCTGTGAGTATCAGATTATCCAAGCCCTCTTTTCTCATTACGTGTTCCAGAAATATCAGCTGCCTCTTCCTGATGTTAAATATAAGCTTCCTCCTTGTTTGCATCCTCTGAGTTTTCCTTCTGCGATAATGGTTGCCATAAGTTGAAGAACATGGCCTATCGTATTAATTACGTGAGTTTAAATTAGGTGTTTTCATTCTTCAAAATTCAAAGGAACAACTCTTGACACCTAATCAAGGATATCTTTCCATTATGATCAGGGCGCGGTCAGTCAGTCCTTAAGCGACATTCCCGACTGGTTTAGGGTCGGTAAACTGACAAGCAAATTATTATTATTATTATTAGTAGTAGTATTATTTATTATTATTATTATTGATATATATATATATATATATATATATATATATATATATATATATATATATATATATATATATATAGGTGTTCCAAAAATAATGTATACAATCTTTTGAATCGTTATAACTTATTCAATTTATGTATTTTGACATGTAAATAAGATTAATACAAGAGAAAGAATACACATTTAAAGAATGTGAGAATATATATATATATATATATATATATATATATATATATATATATATATATATATATATATATAGGGTGTTCCAAAATAATGTATACAATCTTTGAATTGTTATAACTTATTCAATTTATGTATTCTGACATGTAAATAAGATTAATACAAGAGAAAGAATACACACTTAAAGACTTTGAGAGTAAGATATACAAAAAAAAAAAAAAAAAAAAGAAAATTAACTTTAATAAGATAAAATCTATTTGGGTCCATGGCAGAATGTTCATATAATGATGAGTTCACATCAAGTGCTGAAACTGGTTGCCGTTCTGTTCAATACACTTTTCATATCTTGAAGAAATAGACCTACAAACGTCCAGTACCATTTCCTCTGGTATTTGAGCACATTCTTCTTCAATTGCTACTCTCATTTCAGCAATTGTTTCAAGTTTCCTGCTGTAAACTTTGTCTTTTAGAAACCCCAACGAAAAGAAATCCAAGGATGTCAAATCTGGTGATCTAGGTGGGTAATCAAATGTCCCTCTTTTTCCAATCCATCTGTTTTGCATATTTTCATCCCTATAAGTTCTCACATCACGGTAATACATTATTAACTATTAATATTTAAAGGATGTATACATTATTTTGGAATATCCTGTATATATAGTTAAACCTAGAGTCAGACAAACCTACCAAGGTTTCACCTAAGCGGATCGTCAGGGAAGGCCGGTCTTTCCTGACGATCCGCTTAGGTGAAACCTTGGTAGGTTTGTCTGGCTCTCTAGGTTTGACTAGGTCTGCTTTACTATATTGTATTGAGCACTTTATTTAGTTGTTTTGGGTACTCGTATTGGGTTTTTTTTTCTTTGGGCCTTGAACTCGTATGCTGGACGATTATTTTCGGCTGACGTACATGTTCTTGGTTCTTTCTTTTTTTTAATACCTTTTTTTCCCTTTGGTATTGGTTTGATTATTCGCAAATCAAGAAACCTAAGGTTTTCCGGACGAGTATAATTTCTTATATTTATAAGATTTCTATTATTATTAATAATAATAATAATAATAATAATATATATATATATATATATATATATATATATATATATATATATATATATATTCTCGTATTTGCACCCCAGCGTCACCTTTTTTATATGCTCTCTCTCTCTCTCTCTCTCCCGTTATATATATATATATATATATATATATATATATATATATATAAATTAATTGATTTAAAATATGTTTTTTATCGCTACACAGTTCTAACAAAGAACACCGAATTATATACCTTACTGTTCTTTCTTTGTTTCTTTATATATATATATATATATATATATATATATAACGGGAGAGAGAGAGAGAGAGAGAGAGAGAGAGAGAGAGAGAGAGAGATAGAGAAAAAGGTGACGCTGGGGTGCAAATACGAGAAGTCTAATATATCCCCCTTGTCATCCAGTCTGATAAAGGTATACCAAGCACAGTCGCAACAGCCAAATGTGTGCAATACGGTGACAGGTTTTGATAAAAGCAGTGCATATAGTTGCAGGTGAGACTCAGTTAGAATAACCTTCAGCTCGGGAATCCGACTCCGATAGTGGATGGTCGTCCCTAGTGATTAAACGTGTCGCCCAAATCGCTTAGGGTACCCCGCACTTCAAACTTAAACAAAAAAGAACCTTAACTCCAAGGTACGATGACCCTCATCTAAAAAAAAGGGGCATAAGAGACCCGTCTGCCTGTTATTTAACCTATAACTGGGGGGATACATTTCCCGCCATTTCCATGGTCATTAACGCGAACTGAACCAAATAGGCTCATTCAGAAATTAAACCGTTATGTTACATCCTCAAACATATCTAACTTCTTTCTAATTATTATAAAAAAATGATGCCGAAGAACATGAATTCGTTAGACAAATATAGAAAAAGGTTTAAGACAAGGATGTGTCTTCTCCCCGGACTTATTCAACCGCTACAGCGAGACGATTCTGAGAGAATTAGAAGTTCTACCAGGTCTCATTATTGGCGGCTACAATCTTAACCATATACAATATGCAGATGACACAGTGTTGAGATCAGACACAGAAAAGAAACTATAATAATTTCTGCAGAAGCTAATAAAAGAAAGCTGGAAGAAAGGACTAAGCATCAATTGGGAAAAGACAGAATACATAGTTGTTAGCAAAAGGGGACAGTCCAACATGCGAATTACAAATTGGGGATTACCAAAATCAAACAAGTCCAACAATTTAAATATCTGAGAAATATTTTAACAGAGGAGGGAAAGTGCAACACTGAAATCGGAAGGCGCATTGGGATAGCCAAAGATACCTTTCAAAAGCTAAGCAAATTATTAAGAAACAAAAACAAAGAATAGAATAGTAAATATTGAGTATTAACATTATGCCCCACACTTGAACAAAGATGTCTAAGAGGTCCTCCTGACAGTTATTTAATCTATAACTGGGGGACGATAAAATCATGTCTTTTTGCAGGGTCATTAACGCGAATTGAACGAAACAGACTCGATCATAAATCTTCATACTCTTATGGATTCTATCGGCACTGGAAAGTGAAGACTAGACAGCCCTTGCCTTTATATGACAGAATTACTCCATTTTCAGCCAGATCTGGTTCTTTTATAGGAGGAGTAGGAGTCGGAGGAGGAGTAGAAGGAGGAGTAGAAGGAGGAGTCGGAGGAGGAGTCGGAGGAGGAGTAGAAGGAGGAGTAGAAGGAGGAATCGGAGGAGTAGAAGGAGTCGGAGGAGGATTCGGAGTAGGAGTAGGAGTCGGAGTCGGAGTCGGGGGAGGAGTCGGAGGAGGATTCGGAGTAGGAGTAGTAGGAGGAATCGGAGGAGGAGTCGGGGGAAGAGTCGCCTACTTACTGGCGCGGTACAGTGAACCGACCATTTTCCCAGTATCTTTTCGTTCAAACACCATTTCTCGTAGGACCACCGAAGTTAAGCAACGTCGGGTCTGGTCAGTGCTGAGATAGGTGTCCGCTTGAGAATACCAGGTGCTGTAAGCTTGGATGTGTGGAAGGTGCAAATGAATAACGGCTGGGAATCGGAAATCAAAGAGCCGAGTTCCAATTCCAGCCGGGTTCGTTACATTCACTTACACGCAAATACCCTTGGGAATGTTATGAATTCTACTCTTTTCTCCCCCAGCTATGGGTTAATTAGTAATACTTGTATCAGCAGAAATCATTATAACTTCCAAAAACTTTTACTATCTAAAAATATTTCATGGCTTTAAATTATCTGCAAAGGGTTGATAAACCGTAAAAAACAAATCAATCTAGCGATGGATCGTATAGACAAGTTTCACTTAGGTCTGTGTTGCGATTGAGTCGCAATATGTGCGCAAGACACGGGGTTCCCCGAGAGAATTATTACCCCTTCATCTTCTTCCTTTTTATGTGCAGTGCTCCCTCAGGACGTTGGCGGTTAGGGCTCTCCACAATTTCCTGTCCTTTGTAGCTCTTTATGAACTTTGTATTTTCGTTACTTCTAAACCCTGTTGCACCAGCCTCAAGCTTACTATGTTATGCGTTGCTTTCCTCTGTCCCTCTTGCCTTCAATCTGTCCTGTGAGTATCAGATTTTCCAAGCCCTCCTTCCTCATTATGGGCCCCAGAAATGTGAACTGTTTCTTCCTGATGTTAAATTCAAGTTTCTTTTTTTTTCTCCATTTTCTTTACATGTCTGGTGCATAGTATCCTCAGCATCCTTCTGTAGAACCACATTTCAGTGTTAAGTCTCTTTTTCATTTTTGAGGAGACTGCCCAGCATTCACTGACATATAGGAGGACAGATATCACGTAACAGTGCAATACTCTTTTCTTTGTTTCTAACGAAGTTTTTCTGTCTCTTAATATTCTGCTTAGCTTTTGGAAGACATCTTTGGCCATCGCAACGCGTCTTCGGAGTTCAGTGTATCCAAGAATTTAGGGTCCACTCGATATGAAATTTAAATAAGTTGTTCTTTATTAATATTAATTTATGGCGTCCAGCACATTCAGTCAAAACTATCAGCAAAATACAAAAACCTATTTCTCAGGTCAAAAACTAAAAATGGCTTCAAGCAAATAAATAATTTAGATGACAAAGACAGTCTTTCATCAGGTCTTATTGATTGGCGCTACATGATCACAAATAACTTTACCAAATAACGAAAACTACATCACTCGAAATCTTCCGATACCAACAAAATGGTTAAAATGTAACTCGAAGAAAAATAATGACATGTAGTATTGATTTTCAACACCAGATTAAGCAGTTTAGAAACTTCTGTCGATACTACAAGGTGTCCTTAAAATCTGGACACATAAGAAATTTTATAAACTCAATTTTTTTTTTACTACCACAGATTAAACATGGATTTGTCGAAAGAATTGACTTTTTCCGGGATACGCTAAACGAGAAGGTATACTCAATGCAAATCACAGATGCAGCACACTTGAATGAACGCATAAAGACTGAATGTGCTAAAATTGACGTCAATGTGGAGTTTATTGCATCTAGTTCACATGAATCTTGCAAAGCGCATCAACCTTTGCATCGCAAATGATGAAAATCATTTTGAAGATATTTTTGTTAAATGAAGTTATTTGTTAAATGTTATTTTCAAAACATTTTATTGAATGTTCCAATTCAATAAAATGTTTTGAAAATAACATTTAACAAATACTTCATTTAACAAAAATATCTTCAATATGATTCAGTAAAATTTGAAAATATAATTACTTGAAAATATGCATTTTTCTCTATGTGTCCAGACTTCAGGGAAACTCTGTGGAATGAACATGATAAGCTTATTTTCCTGAAACTGTTATAAGAGAAATATTTGATAAATTTCGACCAATGTATACCGAATATTCCTTGTATGTAAACGGTTTTTCTGATCTGGCACAAGATGACGTTTGAACGCGTATGCATACCGTTTTTAACGATCAGAATATAATCATTTTATTGCTATACAACATGGCCGAAGTAATTTTGTGAAATTTTCATTCAAATATTTGTTAGTGCCTTAAAACTTTCGTTTTAATTCCGATAACCACCTCTCGAAGCTGTCCAAAATCGAAAAGAGAAACAGGTTTTAAAGTCTTCTTTTCGAGCGCCATTTTTTTTTCTTCCTAATCGATATTCATTTTCTCTAAATGAGGACATAATTACTTCGGCGCTCACTCGTTCTGTTCGTCTTGCCATTGCCTCCTTAGCATTCATTTATTCACCGCGTTTTATGTTGTCGGCTAACCACATCTGATTTTATTTCCAGATGAAAAAGAAAAGCAAATGTCGGCCTTTCCCTTATTCGCATTAAAGGAAATGAGAGGAGAAAGGGGTTTTTTTTATCATGGGCGCACACACGCACGGACACACGCTCCAGAGAAGTGAGGCATAAAATGTTGACAAATTTGTCATCGATGAAAAAGGGACAAAAGACAGAAACGCATTCTCTTACTTGCTCTCTCACACATACACACCGCTTAGACACAAGCACGCATGCACGCGCACACACACACGTATTTCTGTGTGTGCGTGTGTGTGTGTGTAAATAAATGCTTTATGTATGAATGGACGATGGATTCCTTTGCAGTACTGAAAGTTAGATCTATCTATCTATCTATCTATCTATCTATCTATCTATTTTCCCTCTCATTTTTTCTTTCTATCTATCTATCTATCTATCTATCTATCTATCTATCTATCTATCTATCTATCTATTTTCCCTCTCATTTTTTCTATCTATCTATCTATCTATCTATCTATCTATCTATCTATCTATCTATCTATCTATCTCATTTTCTTCCCTCTATTTTATCTATCTATCTATCTATCTATCTATCTATCTATCTATCTATCTATCTTGGCCTCGTTATCTATCTATCTATCTATCTATCTATCTATCTATCTATCTATCTATCTATCTATCTATCTATTCATTTTCCCTCTCATTTTTTCATTCTATCTATCTATCTATCTATCTATCTATCTATCTATCTATCTATCTATCTATCTATCTATCTATCTATCTAGGTCTCCTCCTTATCTATCTATCTATCTATCTATCTATCTATCTATCTATCTATCTATCTGTCAGTTTTTCTTAATAATATTCAGAGACTCGCGTTTCAACATTTCTTCGGGCAACCACGACCAAAAGAAAAACAAAGACCTGTTTTGTGGCAAATGTATTTGTGCTCTTCCCACCTGTATTGCTGATCGATTTCGTAGCTTCGATGAAAAAAAAAAAAATGGACAGAATAAATGTGGGTCGACCGACTTAAAATGCTTGTTGCCAAACGATCTTCCTACCTCCTAATTTCGAACCATAGTCTCTATTCTATTAAACTTAGTAAGTACCACACACACACACACACACACACACACACACACACACACACACACACACACACACGCACGCATGCATGCACAGACACACACTTCAGAAACTTCTTTAAAAATACTTGTAAACTCATCGTACAATATTAACCGCATCCGGTATGCAAATAGCATCATATTGATAGCAGACGCGGAATGAAACTGCAGGGTCACCTAGTTAATGTTGTAAATGCAGAAACCCTTCAACTATAAGTAGGTATGATGCATGGTCACTAGCGAGAAGGAGAGCTCAAATGTGAGATACAAATTGGCAGGCACAGTACAGGTAAGTGTTATAACTGAACTGGAAGATGTGAGACAGAAATCAAAAGGTGCACTGGAATAGTGAACAGTTTCTTTGAAACATAAGATTCCTTTCAAAAGCTAAGCAACAGTATTAAGAAATAGGAAAAAAATTCGTCCGACATAAAGAAAATACATTTGAATTGCTATGCAATACAACTCTTGCTATACAGTAAATTCCGGACGATTTCCTTCCAGATGAAGAAGAGGTCTAAAGCAACAGAGATGTGGTTCGACTGAAGGTTGCTGTGAATATCATAAATGGAATAGGTAACCAGATATATTTAGGGAAAATTGGAATGAAAAGACATATGTGCTTAGCATTTGAAAAAGACAGTTAAAACTTTTAGGACACATAATGAGGAAGGAGGGCTTGTAAAATTTGATACTCACAGGGCAGATTGAATCAAGAGGGACAACACATAATCTACCTAGCTAGCTGGATAAATGGAGTAAGCAGAGTGACGTAATGGATAGCGGCTCGGATTGAGGAATCGGAGAGCCGAGTTCGAATTCCGTTCAAATCCATTACATTCACTTACATGCTAATACCCCTGGGAAAGGTATGAATACGCTTCTTCTCCCTCCAGCTATGGGTAAATAGCAGGGCAGACCGGGTTCTATAGCCTTGGATGGCAACTGGTCTATTGCGGGAAAAAATCTGCTTCGCGTAGCACATAACTGATTGAAGGGTTTTTACTCGTTAGAGATTATAAAATTAAACAAGTACAAAGTTTGTTATCGGAAGACTGAAATTCCAACGAGCATTGTATTAGTGAAAGATGCTTTCTAAAAGCTAAGCATTGTATTAAGAACTAGGAAAATGCCGTCATAAACAAAGAAAATATTACTGAACTGTAATATCAGTATCTATATGACACTGAATGCTGGACAATCTCCTCAAAGATGAAGTAAATGAAATCTAGTTCTACAGAAGGATTCTGAGAATACTATTGATTGAACATGTGAGCAACAGCGATGTTTTAGATAAAAACTAGCAGCATGGCCCGGCGTTGCCCGTGCTTGATTCAAAAATCGTACGACTCATACAGAAATCGACTTAATCATTTGACTTAAAATATTTTTGCCATTCCTTGCCTTTAAAGGAGTGCCCTTTGCCGTGCTGATGTTGCTACATGCATTACTTCTTGCCTATCTCACACTGCCAATTTTTTCTAAGCTCTATACTAAACATTAAATCTGTTACGAAAAAAAGAACTAAACAAAATGAATACAAAACGACCAGCTTTAAAAAAGGACTCGTAACAGGAAAAACCGAATGAAAAAAGAATGTTAACAACAAATACTTTTTCACATCCAACCCAGTTCTGCGGA